GTTTGCCTGCATCCCTTTTTCGTTGAAGAGTTGAGTTGTCCACGCTGGACAGATCCGAGTAAGACATTGTTAAGCATTCCGGAATCATCAGCTCATTCCAACCCCAGGCCCATAGATCCAGTACCTGCAATCAAGAATGTGGTTTCGGTCCAACCCCATTCCTTAATTCTGACAGCGATTGGATCTGAGATTTCCAAACGCCGATATGAACTGTAAACCAACTCACATGAAGGAAAATTTTCCTGATATCACTGTTCATTGCTGGTTCGTCAGAGCATAATTTGGCACGAATTTTCACAATCATTCGATCAACCAGGTACGGGTTCAAATTATACAGCATTGATCCGTGTTCTGTCATCAGAACTCCCATTACCTAAAATCACTAAATTCACGCGATTAGTAGTTCGAAAATCACCACCACTCACTTCCAAGTCTTCAGAGCTTGGACCGTCATCGACTAAGATGTCCAAGCATTTGAACATAGGCTTTACTAGACATTTTGCTACACAACCGTCGATCCGTAGAAACACATTATACATCCTGATAAATGTAATGACCTATGTAGAATGCAAAAGCTTTAATGGCCTTGAAAATGATCATGATCTCCATCCATCCGGCCAAAAAAACAAGCAGTAAGCAGATTACTTACTCGAACATTGCTTTTACGCTATTACGAAACATGAGTGTTGAACGACTTCGAACTTCTAATCGACTACGATAGTCATTCAGTAGCAGCGCCAAGACGCACGACGAGAGTGCAAGTCCTGACGAGTTTGTCTGAAAGCAATTATTTTGTGAATCAGTAAGTTTAGTCAACTATGGATGATCTGTAACAAAACCTCCTTCACTAGAAAGGAATTCCGTCTTCGCTTATGTTCATCACAACTAGCTCCTTTCATAGAGCAGGAACGACGACCTAGTCTCAGATGTGGCGCTCAAGAATATGTCATCACGCTAAAATAAGGTCGCGTTCATACTTTGCGGCAGCGTCCACCAGCGTCTATCACCGTCCACCGGTGACCAGCAGCGTCCAATAGTGGAGAGTATGGGGCGATAGGAGGTGGAGAGTCTGCTACCCTCCTATGTCGCCATACTCTCCACTCCCGGACGCTGCTGGTCGCTGGATGGACGCTAGATCGATATCTATACTTTCCTAGTCGCTGACGCTGGAGGACGCTATTGGTCGCTGGTGGACGCTGCCGCAAAGTATAAGCGCAGCTTTATGTGTTCTCGAGATCTTCTGACCCTTTTGGGTTCATATAGGGGGATATCCCCCAAAACATTCGCACACAAAGGTTAGATGGCGACCGTAAGTTTAGAGTTCGATTCTTTTAATCATTAAGAATAAAGGATAAAGTCTTCGCCGTTGATCAATCCCTTTGTGGGATGCGGCACGCATTCTACTTCCATTCAGAATCGTAGTGGCTTTTGAGGGAGGTGGCCTATGCACTTGCAGTGTATAGCCTATGCGCCAGTCAGGGTACTTATCCTTCCAGAAGAATCTGGTACTACTTTAACGTCTCTTAACGATAGAAGGTATTGTTGGCCATGGCGGGAGCAGATCCAGGACCGGACCTACGAACCGCGCGCGTGCTAAGCATGCCACTTGCGACTGCACCGCCTTCGCTCCACACATCATTAAATAGCTATCGAAAAACAGATATGATTCACAAAACGCACCTTTCTTACATGTAATACAATGTCGGCAGCAAGTGGAGCAAAACGACCATCAGCCAACCATTTCTGATGTAACTGCTCGGCCAGTGCCTCCGGTGAGTGATTGTGAACCAGAACACTGTAGGCCTGCACTGGAATTGCTTCAACATAAAAAGCTCAAGGTGAAAAAAGTTCAAAGCCTGCAAAAGAGGAAAAAAGGTGTCCATCTCGAGATAGCGGTCCTCGACCACACATTTTCTGTGGTAAAACCCACACTTTTTCTAGAGTTTGAAGGCAGTCTTTCTTGAAAACACACTCAAGTCTGGGTAGGGTTCAGACATGAAAGCGCTGATGCTATTCACTTGAAGTGGGAACAAGCAAGCAGTCGAGGGCGCTGCGAGTAAGATAAAATTGTTGCAGTTGATTCTGGGTGCTGCACAAGCATACGAAGAGTAGGTGCGAGAGGCGAAGAAACACTGGGCGCGCGCGAGAGAGTTGACACAGCGAAGGCACAAGAGCATGCATCCAAGCAAAACAGTGAAAAAGGAAAGTACCAAACAGGCAGTGATTGCGCATTTGCGGGTGTGTCCCCGAAGAAGGGGTTTATCGTTGGGAAACGAACCGATTGACCTGCCCGTCATCACGCACAGTCTTTCAAGTTGAAAAAAAGCTAAAAACTTGGTGCATGAGTTAATGCCCATAGAGATTTCAGACACCCGTGTCACTGCCAGTGCGTTCTTAATTCTGCGTTCTGGACATTAAGTATAGGTTGTAAGTTCATTGCGGCGGTTGGGCGTGTTCGTGGCGGCTTGCGTTTGCGCGGTCTAAATTCGATTCCAGCACGGGTTGTTACAAGCGAGCAATGACAATGACTGTAAGACTATTTTCGTAATAGTTGTTTCTAACTCTGCTTTTTGTCGCCATGCACCGTGTTTCAACAAAGAAGGCAGAGACAACTCAAAGAGGGTGACATCACTCAATACTGGTTACACGTACACCGCAGGGTCGGCAGCAAAAGTAGGAAAGTGTATATACCGTGCAAGAACCCAAGCTTTGACAAGAGAGCTAGGAAAAGCGAATGATGAAGAATGATGTATCACAGGTTCTTCTAGCTTCTAAACCATGAGAAGTTTGGAGGTCTCAAAAGAACGCCCTCCTCTCTTTTAGACAAGCTACCCCAGAGCAGCCTTTAATTACTGCTAACTCCAAAAGCTGCACAGTCATTTAGCGGCATAGAGAAGGCGTGTCCACGGACGCGGTGGCCGCCGCATGTCTGAAACGTAGACCGCTTGCAAAAGGGACAACAAACTAGAAAAGGAGTTAGAAGAAAAAGCTGGCGCGTCCTAAGACGATACTAAGTGAACCGGTATCATCCTATAGGTTCGCAGTCGCTACAGAGGTAACAACTTATTCCGTATTTCTGTCCAACCCCAAGAAATGAACTGCACTCAGTCATAATCCAATACCTCAGATCACCAGTACCGCTGCGCCTGCAATCGACTTTGAACGGCTCCCGAAAACACGGATATTTATCATACACCACGTCATCGAGAATAATTGCTTTGCTTTCCCAACTCGCACCTTTGCTAACAGCTGTTACAAACCAATCGTGATTCTCACTAACCTGGGAGTGGTCCCTGTTGCGCTAATGTTGCCAATGAACTGAAGAGTTCACGGAGTTGATCGTCATCTATCCGGTTCTCCGTAGATGTGCTCGTGGTCATGTAGATATTATTCGTCTCGAAAGGAAGACCATTTAAAAGACTAATCTAGTTCAGAGTAACTATATTTGTAGTGCGAAAATTCGAATACAACATCGTGAAATGCGGAACTGACAGAAATGAGTGTTCGCAACCCTGGTGGAAAGTTCTGATTTCCATGACAAAAAACGGTGATTTCTTCTCCATACTACCCCAGATCACCAGTACCGCTGCGCCTGCTGAAGTGTGCTGATACACGGATAAACGGGTGCTCATTTGGGGCACAGCACCGCTCCGAGTGAATGGCCGTGTCGGTAAAACCCCCTCCCCTCGGAAAAAATCCTCTTCCTGTACTACCATCCCCTCCCACTTCCTCATGCTACTTACCATTTTCCCAAGTTCCCTCAGCTCCCTACTAACTTTCCCAGCTTTAAAAACCCACAGCTTCATCTCCCCCCCCCCCGTCCACCCTCCCTCGAGAAAAAAAATCGGACTGGCTTCGAGCCAGGGCACACCATTATCTGAGGATTTTGGTGGCTCCGTACGATCCCCTCCCCTAAGAGGTGGCTTGATAAGACCACCCTGGTCCCCTCGTTCCCTCCTCTGGTTGAGCTG